GACTGGGACACACTGGAGTGATACTTAATTCTGAAGCAGTAATTTAGGGGAAGCTCATCAGGGAAGAAGGGAGTAGAGCTGTCAGTTTCTGGGCAGAAAGAAGAGCTTGTTCCAAAGTGATAAAAACGACAGAGAAAACAGCACTCACCGAATGACCCATAGTTCTCAGGCACTGACCACACACCAGGACAGGAAGTAGGTGGAGTTTGTTACTCACTGGTCCCCATGCCAAAGATTTGGGCGTGCTATGACTAGGACTGCCCCTGAGCAACATATGCCCCAAGCTGCCTCTGGCCATCTGGAGCCTTTTGCCATGATTTTTTCTGTGTATCCTCTGACATTCTTAAGACCATTTCAGTGAAGCTGAAGTTTACGTGTAAAATCAGACCATAAAGAGAAAATCGTCTGATGTCAGAGTTACCCTAGAAAACCACTTGGGAGGTCTCTATTTTAGAGATCTCAAAGTCTAATATGATCAATATTTCCACCAAGAGTGGGAAAGATAAGTGTTTATATATAAGCCAGAGAGTTGGCTTGTGAGAGTGGTGAATAGATCCCGTTCCTTTAAATACATTAAATTCTTAGAGATGTCGACACTGGGTGAGGTGTCTACACCATAAGAGGCTGAAGGAAGGGAAGATCCAAGTTCTCCTTGGCATACTCACATTTTATTGTTGTAAATTTTGGGCTGAATGGTTAATATATGGCTCCTGTCTGAAGAAGGCTGCAACCAGAATCTTCTCTTGCCTACCTGGGGGCTGAGGTATTATGCAAACGATGCCCTGATTTATGTGGTTTAACAAGTGACTCAAATATTGAGAAAACCTAGATAAAATAAATAGCGTCGCTTTGGCATCAGAGAGCAAAGATTTCTCTGGGTCTCTGAGAATTGTCAATGCTCTTCGAGTCACCCAATTAATTTAGGAAGCTACTTATATGGACACAAAATCAACCCAGCCTGCATGTGTCATTAGTCTATGGGCCAGTATACACTGCCTCCTTGTTTTCAGAGTGAGAATGTGTTCAACCTCACCTATGACTTTTACTCCATCACCATGATTATAAGGAGTATTTGATAACAGGCTTTGAAGCACTTCAAAAATCTCTATTATGCACTTATTAACATGTTTTGGGAATGGAGATAAAATATTAATGAAACATATTTTCTTTCTCCTCTAGTCTAGTGAAAGGGCAAAAAATAAACAAGAAGATAGAATATGATCAGTGTGAGTATAAAGTGCTCCAGGAACACACAGGGGTGGCTCTTACCTTTAGTTGGCCAGGTTCAAAGGGAGAGGCAGCTCCGTCTAAACACAAGGAGCAGCACGTGTGCTTAGCATGTGTAGCAGAAGCTTTTCTTTGACAAGAGTGTTGACAATGAAGTAAAGATGCTCTATCTGCCCTGAATATCTACCACATTTTCAGGAAACACAAGATGGACATACAAACCACAAGGAAGAATCTGCACCTGCACCGTGGATGAGAATTTGCAGAGGGGTGAGAGCTGAAAAAAGGAAACAAAATTTACAACCCTCAGTGGCATCTTAATCCCTTGCCAGAGTGACATTATCTGTGATGTTTGTGTGAAATATCAAATACTTGGAAAGCCTTACAGAAACCAGAACGCTAAATGTGTCTGCAGATCACTGACAACATGATGAACACACATTTACGTGGAACGCTTAAACATGACCTTCGGAACATTCATGAACATATCTGAACACCCCCAACACAGCATTAGCAAAAGGCCAGGCAGCGCTCTTTGTTCGGTAAAGTAACTAATTCTTCATCAGTCATTTTGTCACTGAGACACATATTGTTCAGAAGAAAACAAAAAACAGCACTGGAATCAAGGAGAATTTTAAAATTAAAGAAAATTTAAGGAAACAGCATCTTTTTCAGTCTGTACAAAACATTTCTTGGCCACCAAAGCATACATATAGGGTCTACTTCCCAGGAGAAGAGGGCTGAGAATACAGATTTTCCATGTTTCCCTTTCTTTACTGGATCTTATTTGTGTTTACTAACTCTGTGAATCATTCTTTAGATGTACTAGTATTTAGATCACCATTTTAACTACAATATTATAGTCACCAATAAGGCAAGTGTTTGCTGCTCCCTAATAAACACTAACTTTTCCTATCTTCAACATTTGAAACAAAAAAAAGGAAGAAAGAAATAATACAAAGAGAAAGACTCAAATGGTAGTAATTTCATTTTCTATCTTTCGGGTTATTGAATCATTTCGGAAGATGTGCCTCCATAAAAACCTTATCAAAATCACATGCCTGTCTGTGGCAAATATACCGATCCACATTCAAACTTCTTACAGTCACAAACTCCTTGAAAAATACTGAATGTGCAGTTGTCCTCATCATTTCCCGAAGTCAGTTAATGACAATTGTCAGATGCCCCAAATGATTTTTCTTACACGCCACAAGCAATGTTTGCTAATATAGTCTTTGCCACACAAATTTCTAAACGTTCACTTCAAAATAGTAGAGGGCAAGTACTCCCATTTTATTCAATAGGAAGTTTTATACAATAGCAAACGATAAAATGTAATAAAACAAAACACCTATGATTAGAATGAGAAAGACCTGCCTTTGAATTTTGGTTCATTTACTAGTTGTCTGACCTCAGGAAAATACTTAACAACTCTGAACTGCAGCTCCCTCAGCTTTGAAAGAGAGATAATAGTAGGTACCTAATTGAGTAGTTGTATTAATAAAGACATTATGTGTAGAATATAGTATACAGCCTGACTCACTTTTAGAGACTCAATATAAACTACTCCCATGATTACTTGTTATTGATACTAAAATAACATTTTTTTTTTTAACTTCTGATTTCATGGTTAGTGCTTTCTAAATGTGCAATTCCGGGGAAAAAGCTTAGGCTTGGACCAGCAAAGTTTGTATTTGAATCTTGACTGTTCTGTGAAGTGTAAGAAAAATCACTTAACCTCTCTGAACCAGAGCTGCTTCCAATGGGAAATTTGAATACTAATATCTACCTTGCCAGATTACAATGATTGAATGAGGCCATTCTTCTCAGCACATGGTAAACGTTCATTGAATAGTAACTCTTAGTATTAATATTATTGTAACAGCAGTAGTTGAAAAGCAAGGATTCATCTGATGTGTCTGTGTTGGAATAAAATAATACCATTTTATACAGGGATAGAAAAATAGGATTGTCTTCCGTTGCTAACCCTGCTGGTTAGCGATGGCCTCGCATGTTCTGTGAAAAGGACTCCAGTATTTAGTAAGTCTCTGCATGCATGCAGTGTTGACAAATACAGAAACTGGAACCTAGCATGTGATTATCATTAAGTAGATGTAAATATCCCCAGATATTTGCACAAAGCATTGAAAAGATACAAAATATTCTGCAGCTACTACCTTATTTTAAGAACTGGAAATAAAAAGCAACTGCCTTTTTTTTCCTGTAAAAGGTGTTGGAGAAGAGTAGTGAGAAGATCTGGGAAAGCAGCAACAACAAAAGGACCAAATCTGTTGTTTGGCAAAGCATGTACAGTATTAGAAACTCAGTTACTGTCCCAGGTGTCACCATTCAAACATCTTAAGTTGACTTATTTCTGTTCATTCTAATCAGTGGCAGTGATTATCACAGAATGAAGGGTACAGACCTTAAGATAACAAAGGTTTATCGAGGGTGATTCTAAAAGACACCTGTACATTACAAATAATTGCTTTTAACATAGGATGTATAGAAAACAAGAGGATCGTTACATTTAAGGGCCAATTCTTCAGAAACCAAAGGAATAGACCCGAGATTTGTTTAAAGTAATCAACGTGTTTTATTTCTTTAGAACTGAAAGAATTCAGATCTAAACTTCCAAAGCTACAGTCAACAATTTTTCATCAGAGCCCAAGGGAGAAGGGCAGGGGTGAAAGAGACCAAAGATGAAGGAAGGCATAGAGAGACCACTAGGAGGAGGTGGGGAGGGGCCCCGTGTTTCCCTCTGTCTTCTGAGTCAGTTACATATCAGATCTGGTGACAGTACTGAGGGGACCAGGTTGGGGGATATGAATGGGAAGTGACACTGCAAAGGAACACTGACCAAACCTTAACTACAAAACAAGTCATCAAACCCCAAGTAGAAAGGGAACCTCTTAGTTCATCTCAGAAATGGGGGTAGCAACAGCAGAGCTAGGAACAGGATGGAGGCATGCCCATTTCTTTTATGCCTGGGTGATGTATATGACTGTAGGGTGGCCTTGAACTGTGGGAAGAGGAAGAGGGGTGGCCAGGGGTCTTCTCAGAACATCCCGTGTGGCTCTAAAGATCTAAATGGGGACAGATGCTCCTCAACCTTCCAATCCAAGAAGCTAGTCAAAGCTAAATTTATGATTGCACAAACAACTTGGAAGTGCCCAAATTATGTGATGGAAAACTACAACTCCCATAATTCCCTGGGTCGGCAAAAGGGAGGCCCCTCCCGCATAAGCTGTCCCACTTTCTCAGCAACTAGGCCTCCGATACAATAGGCCTGGGAGGAGTGGACAGGAGTTCAAGGAGACGCCACCCCCGCCCCACCACAGTTTGAGGGGTGTCTCTGGCAGGCCCCTGGAAGTACTCCCTGCTCCTCCTTCACCCCTTCCGACACTCCCACCCCTGATTCCAAAGTGGAGCTCCATAATGCCCGAGGGGAGGGGCGGAGGGATGTCATGAGGGGGAAACGGCTGGTCCAGGCCCCAACGGAAGCGCTGGCAAACAGTTGCAGGCAGGGAGTGGGCACGGTGGTCTCATCTCATCCCAGGGAGCAGAGGCCCCGACTCAGATCCCAGTGGTGTGAGGGCACAGAGGTGAGGGCCTGGTGGCCTGCCGCATCCAGCTCAGTCCCCAAGGGCCGGGGGTGGAAAGGGAGAGTGGGTGGAGAGAGGGGTGCCAGTTTGCAGGCCGTGGCCAGTTCCCCCAGTAACAGCCAGGCCGCAGCAGGAACAGGGCGGGGGCTCTTCTGTAAACTTTGGTGACTACTGGCTCTCACGGCCTCCGACGCCCGGGGCCTCGGCCTCTCTCTCAGCAGCCTCTTCCTCCCGCCCCTGCTCCCCCGGCGGCGGCCCGTTCTCTGGCTCCACGAGGAGCGGTTTCGCATCCTCCGCCGCGGTGGCCGCCTCCTCCATCTCCCCTTCTTCCGAATCAGCCTCCTTGGGACGCTTGGGGATGTCCTTCGGCGGGTCCCTGGCGCTCCTCTTCAGCGGCCCCTTTTCGTTCTCCTCCTCGGCCGGCGGGTCGACGCCCGGCTCCCCCGACTCGGCGCCGCCGCCGCCGTCGGTGTGGCTCTCCGGGTCCCCACAGCCCTCGGTGGCCTCCGGCTCGGGCTTGGGCCCCTCGGCGCAGCTCTTCCCCTGGGCGAACTGGTAACCAGAAGCCTGGACGGCGGGGTTGTTCTCGATCTCCCACAGCCCCTCGCTGAAGCCCCTCCTCTTGCTGGGTTTGCCGAACTTCTCCTTGGACTCCTCGTACGGGAAGAGGTGCTTGGGTCCCAGGAAGGCCGTATCGTGGGTCCCGAAGAAAAACACTCGGTAGCGGTTGGCCTCGGCCGTTTGCTCGATCCTGGCCGGCCAGTGGGCGTAGCCCTTTAACTTGGCGAACACCAAGTCCCCGCTCTTGTACTTGCGCCGGCAGAACATCAAGTCCCCGCTCTTGTACTTGCGCCGGCAGAACCGCGACATGGCTGCGGACCCGGCCTCGGCAGCAGCTGGAAAGGGCGACCCACGACGGCGCGCGGGGGCAGCGGCTACTGGGCTCGGGCTGCGCAAGCCCCCCCCCCCCCCCCCCCAGGGAGCTCGCGCGCGCACCGCCGGGCGCCACACCTGGGAGCCCTGAGAAGGTTCTAGTGCGAAGCGTGCAGTATCTCGGAGACCCAAAGCCCGCTGGGCCCCACCGTCGACGCCGGGGTTTCTAGAACGACAGAGCCAAGAGCTTGGGTATCCCGGGCGGCGGTTCTGCTGACGGGGATCCTCTGCGGATCAATCGCTAGGGCACCCGGCTGTGAAGGTGGCATCGTTTACTGTGTCAGCCAGAGTGGCCTAGCAAGGGAGAGATGGGGCAGGGTGGCAAGAAAACGCAGTGACACGATTAGCACGCATTTCGATGAAACTAGTAACAGGCTAGCGCAGATTTGCAGTATCCGTGGGGACCCCGATCTGCTCATTACAGAAAACTCCACTCTTGCCTCAGGAGTTGCCTGAGTCAGTGGTTACACCCGTTTTCTGATTTCCTTGAGAGCTAACACTGGTGTCTGCAAGGGGATTCAAGAATAGAGTGGAGGCAAAGGAATAGAGTCAGCAACGCTGGCTGGATGTCCAGAGTGCACATCTCTTGGAAACTGGTGTCCTAAACTTTGGGGAGGGGGTCACAAAATGTATAGAGCAGCCTCATGACCATGGCAAACCAGCCATGTCAAAATTTCCTCCTTTACATGGGATGCTGGGCATGGCCCTTACCCTTTCACTGATTCTTGCATATTTTAAGAGATAAGCCTCTTATCTCTTGGTGGTTATAACACGGAAAGAATGTCAAATGCTCTCAGTATCCTCACAGAGAGGGGAAAATTGGGCTTAAGAATTAGGTAGAGCTCTGCTCACATCAAATATCTTGTTACTATCTAGAACTTCCTGGGGGCTACAGACTAAAAAAGAATCATTTCAGCTGAGAGACTATTTTAAGAATAGACTTGTTCTCCTTAAGTGATAATTATGGGAGTTTCCCTGTAACTGCAGTCGTTACACATTTGTCTGCATCTTTTTTGAGTCCTGCTAGCTAGCTGTGAGCTTGCACTCTGAAACCTAGCCAAATTTGTCGTACTAGTACTCTTGGCTATTATGACAAAGACCTTTCAATATCAATTGTGTATTTAATTGCATAGATGTTTTTTCCTAGTGTAACCAGCAGTGACCAGTGGAGAATTAGAACCACTAACCCATTTCAGTATAACTCAAATTTGTTTCTGCTTTGCTGGGTTGCATCAGCCATTTTACCTCTGGGTGGTGGAGACCTGTTCTGGGCAAAAGAAGTTCTCTTCTCCCAACAAGGCAAAACAAGTACGACAGACTTTGATAATTCTAAACAACTTCTTTTAGCTCTTCTGTCAAGCCATTTTCTTAAAACGCTTATCTGCCCCATGAATATCTACAACTTTACCAATTAAGTAACATCGACACATGCCCAGAAAGGGTACTTAGTTGTGCCGTTGTGGTCGGAAGGCCTCGACTACAGCTGCTCTAGTTGAGAGTGATCTTCGGCAAAAGGATCACATGGGTATAAGCCAAACATCAAAGATTGTTGGGTAGTTGAATCACTGCAGGTGAACAGGTAGGGATCTGAGGCGGAAGCAAAAAGTCAGAAAGTAGAGGCAAGAGGATCTAGTAAAGAATGATCCAGATCTGCAAAGGGTAATAGATATTCTATTGGGCAAAGGAGTGTCATTTTTGTACCTCCACCCAGTACCCACTAATACTCTGTGTGTGGTGTTAAGGGCTGGCACAAAAGATGCTGCTTTTTGAGGACTTTAAAATGTAATTTAAGAGCGAAAGCATCAGGGACTTCATTACAGAGAAATGCAAGCTAGTCTTCAAGTGCTAAATCATGTGTTCTTACATAAATATTGAAGGAATTCTAGGAGAAACCAATGGGAGTGTGGTTACTAGGGCAAGGCTTTTGGGAGGAGTAGCAGCAGATGTACTAGAAGGAATTCTAGTATCCTTCACTTGTTTACCAGCCTTGTAAAGCTGGGAATAGATAATATTTCTGAGCCTCTGTTACATGATCTTAAGATGTTTAAAGTAATATTTATAATTTCCCTCAGGACTGTTATATATATTAATGAGATTATGGGCATGAAAGTCCAGACAATGGGTATAAAGTTCTATGATGTACTAACAAGCATGACGTAGAATTTCATTATGGATGGGATCAGGCTATTATTATTATTAAGCTGAATGAAGGAAAAATATGTCAAAAGGAGTAAAGTCATGAATAAGGACACTGAAGAATGAAGACAAGTTAATCTGCCAGCCAAATTCTTTACTACACATGGAATTCCATATTACATATGGAATTACATATCCAGCACAACTTCTGTATGAAACATAAAAGTTCTTGTTCTTTGGAAATATTATTTTTAAAACAGCATTCTTTGACTAGATTTATCACCTAATGGTAGCTAATTCCAAAAAGGGGAGAGGGACTTCCCTGGTGGTGCAGTGGGTAAGGCTCCACACTCCCAATGCAGGGGGCCCGGGTTCGATCCCTGGTCAGGGAACTAGATCCCACACGCTACAACTAAGAAGCCCCCATACCGCAACTAAGACCCAGCACAGCCAAAATAAAATAAAATAAATAAATATTAAAAAAAAACACTAAAAGGGGAGAATAAGAGGAAGGTTGAGCAAAAAGTTTAATGCATTTAGAGTTGGATACCACTTGCACAGATATTCCCGTCCTCTGACACTTGCATGCTCCATGATGCAATTAAATAGTAGGATCTTTGCTTCTTTTACCCTTGAAACCAACTTGTTCTTAAAGTTATTGTCTCTCTTTTGCTCAAAGTGAGAAGAGTAGGTAAGTAGTGTTCATGGTAACTTGGTTAGGTTTAGATTTGGCTAGTATATAAACAAAGGTCTCAGGAGCAACTATTATTATTAATTTTCAGAAACTAGATCTCCTTGAGCTCAGATATTTCGAATAAAATCCAAAGTACCAAGACCGTCTGTTTGTAAAAAGGACCTAATTTCAGCAGCAGCAGCAAACCTATCAAAACACCTTAGATTCCAGAACAGATAACACATCACAGTTTCCTTTTCTGGAAAACTAATGATAGGGTTTAAAAGCTGCTTGGCAACAATTATGAAACATGGGCAATAAAACAATGTAATTGTACAGCAGAGAGACTAGATATCCAATGGATGTTTTCTTGTTTAATTAGTTTTAAACTCAATTACTTTGGTATAAACTATGATTTAAAATAAATGTAATTGTTTTCTATGTGCTTTTGTTTCATTAAAAAATATTAGCTGCCTCTGTTTATACAACAGAAGTGTTTATACATGGTTGGTATTTGGGGTCAAGGCTTTTCTTTCTAAAATGTTCTAGCAGACATAATTACACAGAAAGTAAATCCCCTATCCCACCACGGGTAGAAAATCCCCCCACCCTCCTTTCTTTAAAAGTCACAGGAGGTGAGCTACCTCTATATTTTGTCACCTCTACATTTTATCAGCGTACACGTAGCCTAACCTTTAAAGCCTCAGGGGTTTCTAAAATCCAAGGGATCTGCTGGGGGTGGGGATAAACTTGGTATCAGTGGGGATGTCCGGCAGCTAAAGGATAATTTAAAGGAAGTTTCCAAGGAGCTGTATCATTATCAATTTGACTAGTGTGTCAAATCTGTATCTAACTTGATGATGGGATTGGGGGTGGGGGGAGAGATGAGAGTGCAGATTTTCCCAGTGCTATATGTGTGCTGGTGATTTGGGCCCCCTTGGCTAATCATAAATGTTACAGGGTAGGGTGTAGGAGGGGGCAAATGGAGAGATTTCAGAATTGTTTGCAAAACTGCTGTTTTAGCAGCCATGGAAAGAAAATTGCCACTCTAAAATGAATAAATGTGGCTGCTTAAGAATAATATTTCATTATACTGATTTGGGAGCACTTAAAACTTTTGAAAACTACTCTTTGGAAAAAAATTTAAATAAAATGTGCTAAATAATAATAATATTTTTGTAATTTGAATCTTGCATGATACTTAGTCAAACTCTGCCACTTGAAAATATATGAGGTTTTTGAAAATCTACATAATTAGCAACGTTTAAACAAGTTATCAATGCTGGTGAGTATTCAGTAATTGGGGATTGGGCACATATAACATGGTCTATTTACATAATAATTATATAATTAAATGGCCATCTTCTGTGTGTTTAGAGTTTTTAAAGTATAATTTAATAACTTGGAAATTCTTACAATATGAAGTTGAGTGAAAGGCAGGACAAAATATATAACATAGGTAATTTACTAGCCTATGTGAAACCCAGTTCCTTAAATCTAAAATGTGGATCCCAATGTAATACCCATTTGAGAGAAAGGCTGCTTAAAATAAACAGAACAATCAAGTATGTTGCCTGGTACCTGTTAAGTGTTCAATTACTATTAGCGATTACTATTAAAATAGCCAGTACTAGCTCTATTTTATTTATTTTATTAAAGTGCAGTTTTTGTTTTGTTTGGCTTTTTTTTTTGGCAGTATGTGATACATATCTTTTCTTGTAACTATTGTTTTTTTCCTCACTCAGATTGTTTCTGGTTCTAAATTTAGCTTGACACCTTGCCAATGTTCCTTTAATTTTATTATAATATTTTTTTCTTATTTTTTGGAGGGGGTGTGTTCTTCATGCACTAAAAATACATTTTTAAAGATCCAAGATCAACAACGTCATCTCTATAAGCAAATATGGAACTTGGCATTGCAATTTGTTTTATACTTCTTGCCATTATAATAAGATATCATATAAATGGTTAAAACGACCAAAGTTTTCAGAAAATCATGCTGAAGTTTTTGATGATATAACTTCAGTCTTCACCTCAATTGTCTTACTCTTCCAACAGTTTCCTAGCTTTTGATATAATTACCAAAATATTAATCTTTGGGAATAAATAATTTATACAATTTCTATTT